CCCTATCTTATAAAGTTAGAAAATATTTATAGATATTAATATGTTGAAAGAAACGGCCGGATGACCAAGCGCCCGGAATGAATTCGGACGGCTCGAAAAATCACAAGAATTTTTCGGGGGTGGTCCATCCGGATATGTCGAGCCTCCTCCCATGCCACTCGGTTTCCCATTGCCCATAATGAACTTAGCGGAAAAGACCTTTATAGTGTCCACAGGATGGATAGTTAAATATATACACTAAAAGAAACTAGATTTTCATTTTAATATATTAACTTAATAAAGATATAATAAAAACCTTTATTGTACCAAAAATATAGCTATGACAAATGATTAAGTAATTTAATATATAACAAAATATCTTTTAAATAAACGGTTTCTTTATAAAAGTTAAAGCTTTTTTAAATTAATATATATTAAACATATTTTAAACATATTAATATAAATACGTAAAAAATATCATAATTAACTTAAATATTTGTGGTTAGATCAGATGGAAGTTTTAGTATAAAACAATGTTCCTTATTTCATATTCTTATGAATACGTATATTAATTTCATTTGCAGCTATTTACTTATAATAAATATTAATATAATAGTTCATATAATAAATAAATAACAAAATAAATAGTTATGTAAAACAACATCAATATTTCTAAACAAATATAATTTCGTATTATTATTTCATAACGTCTCAGAAATCTCTATGTAAATATATGAGCGCATCTAGGCGACAAACAGCTACGTAGTCAAGCCAATGATGTAGTTCGTTTCATATGAAACGGATTCTGTCATTGCTTGTTTACTTGCACCTTAGTTTTATTTTTCTGATATATATTCAAATTATAATCTAAATGCAAATTAATCTAAATGAAATGCAAATTATAAATTATAATAAAGATTATAATTTGCATTTGTTATATTGGAAATTATATGTTTCTCCTTAGGGAATAATTTCTTCAACGTTAATAAATATTTGATTTGGTTTGGTATATTTACAATAAATTTTTACCTATTAATTATTCGTGAACTCTTAGTATTATTTATAGATTATTTTAAAGTTATTCAGATATTTACTTAAAAAAATGACTCTTAAATATATAGACCCACGGTTGCTCGCGAGTCACATGCGGCAGAAATTGTATACTTATACAATTTCTTTTTATAATTCGGTACATAATATTTAAACTTATGTAACAATTTTAAGTTTGCTGACTGTTATTTGTTGTGTGATATAAACAGTAATTGTAAGCGTAACTTGAAAGTTAACTTTGAGCAAGCATTTGAAAGTAACGGTACATTCGTATGAACCAAATTTTAGACACCCAATGCCCAAACTACAAACCCACAAACCTTCTAACAGTAAGTAATGGAGAATAAACATTGATAGGGGAATTCTGAATTGAAATAATATGACTTCCAGTGCAAACTGAAAGTTCATATATAATTAATCGGGGTCTCCCCCTAATCTTTTCATATAAGGTCTCTGTTCGTCTGTTGTCTGTCTGTCTGTCATTCCTTAATCTCGAGAACGGCAGAATTACTTACTTGTTAGATGAAAATTGAGACGGACGATAGTGGAAATTTATAGGTCTACAACCATTTCAAATTGTAATCCAATGTAATTGAAAATATGCAAAGAATTAGAAGAATTTTAAGCGGAATATAGAATTTTTTACTTTACATTGCACAATATTAATGGCAGGTTGTGTGATGGATTCTGAAAGATGCTACTGTTTTCAATATTCCATTCTTCCGAAACTTTATTGTAGCCGATAACGAATATATTATTTTATTTTAATTAATTTGCTATTTATAAATTGCATTTATTATATATTTAAATGTTTAAAACAAATTTTAAAATATAGACCTAAATACAACTGTTGATAATTCGATCCTTTCATTAAAATAGAAAACAATGTAGTTACAATTAGTTCTGTATCGTAATTTCGCTATTATCTTATTGAATTTATTAGAAAAACAAAGTAGAACTAAATAAAAACAACAAAATCTATATATAGTAACGCTTTAGCATATTCTTTCTTTTAATATTAACAACATTTTACGACTAAAAATTAGATTAACTTTCCTATGATTAAATTTAACAATTACTAGTTATACTTAATTAAGATAGTTTCATTAAAATATTAACCAAATTACTGAGAAATGCAAATTTGAAATAAATATGAAATTTGCTCAATGATTCACTTAAATTAAAACCGAGTTTCCATACAAATACATTAAAATTCGGACTGATATGATTCAAGAATAAGTAGAGAATCACCGATATACTGTACAGTACATATTTTTCGGTTTATTTAATTCTGTTATTTTTAATTTATCTGCATAAATTTATTTTGAAATAAATTTTGAAATAATTGGCGTAAAAAATCAAAAGAATTATTGTAACAAATTTTATATATATCCTACTTTGTAAGAAAGAAGTTTTCTTTAAATAGTTCGTCTAAATTATACTATTTATCTGCATAAATTTATTTTGAAATAAATTTTGAAATAATTGGCGTAAAAAATCAAAAGAATTATTGTAACAAATTTTACATATATCCTACTTTGTAAGAAAGAAGTTTTCTTTAAATAGTTCGTCTAAATTATACTATTTATATACACACATATATAATTTAAGATGCTGCATGTTAACGTGTTTACGTTTGTATAAAATTAAAATAAAGCGGTGTAAATACACCGCATTATTTTAATTTTATGTATATAATAAAGTAATAAATAAATATTAATAGATATTATCATAAAGTCTTATTCCAAAACTCGCATAATAAAGAACAACATAAAAACACGATTCATGAATCATTACATAAATCAAACTTATGTAACCATTATAATTAAAATAATTTTAATTCCACTAGAGGGTAACTATGCCCCCTCGCTTCGCCTAGTTTAAAACTTTCGTGACAATTCATCGAATCACGATATCTCCATTTCTATTTTTACTTTATTTATTTTTGTGACTTTTTTAAACTAAGTATTATATAAACTGTAGAGAATAGCTTTTATATAGCCTAGAGACCATTACAGAAAAATATAGATCTGCCAATAAAACAAATAAATGTTTCAAATATTGCGATTTACATATAAGATACATTTAAAATGAGAAATAAGAAACGATTCTCAAATTAATATAATTATAAAGTATTGATTAATTTTTTTATTTTAGAATAATCTTCTAATTTACAAAAAAGAAAGTTTGTTAGTTTGTTCATTATACATTCACGGTTTGAACAAATGCAAAGAAACTTTTCGGGGGTAATCTCGTTCAGCAGTACTACTAATTTTGATCGAATTGATTTCAACCCTCCGTCTCCCCCTTTCTTTCTGACCAATGGGAGAGTAATATTCAAATAGGAAAATTACTTAATACAAAATTACCAGCGAGCACAAAATGTTTTGAGGAATTTTCGAGTGTCGAGTTTAAATATTTAATTTCTTTTTCGCGAAATTTGATTGAGTAACCGATTATCATTTCATATTCGACTGTGAATGATAGGTTAGAGTTAACATTAGGAAAAATTTGGATAAATTTTTTTGAATTCTTGAATCTTGAATTATCTTTCATGTAGGCAAAAATCAAGCACTACTTTCAGTTGAAGAACATCAATTCCTGTTTACCTGACAAGTTTCGCCATTTCATACTATTCGAGTGTGCATTCTTAGCAAGAATTGTAATTAGGAGTTTTTCAGGATGTTGACACGAATCTTTGATCCGTTTGCCTCGAAATGCACATTGGACTGCATTTTGTTCATTGGACTGCAAATTGAAAAAAATTGTAGACCTATAAATTCCCACGGACTGTCTGTCCGTAATCTCGATAACTATGTTACATAGATGAAGGACGAGACCAGATATGAAACTCTATGGGCAGGAGACCTCGATTAACTAAATACGAATTTCCAATGAAAAACGGAAGTAACGTTATTTCAATTCAAAGTTTTTCTGAAATGTGTTAGACAGATGACAGGCACGACTATATTGTTAAAAGTATGATGTACAGGGGCAAGCCACTACTAATTTGAGGTGGAAAGTATATATTTTAAATTAAATTAATTTAAAATATGATTAAAAATTGCATCCCGGCATTGTGAAGATGCCACAATAAATAATTGCTCTTTTGTTTTTATTAAATGAATATAAATATGATTATTATTTTTTTCTTCTTCAAAGTAGACTTTTGTCGTTTTTATTCTATTATGTTACATATTTTTTTATAGACATAACCTTTTTATCTCTATCTTTATTCTGTTAAATATATATCATCAAAAATTTTCCTGACAACACCGGATAACTTTGCTAGTAATTAATAAAAATCATCTCAACTCTTAACGAATCTATCAATTTTCCTTAACTTAAGTAGGAAATTATAAAACTTCAAGTTAGATTTTATTTAAATTCGAATTGAACTTGAATTTGAATTCTAAATTCGATTGGCAAAAATCGATAAATTATATCATTGTTCAAGATTATTATTATAATGTCAATTAGGACGAAATAAACAGATCGAATTAAGAATGTTTTAATAATTAAATCATATATTAAGTTTATTTAAATTTTGATATTTTTTAAACAGCAACGAGTTGTTTTTTATATAATTTATTCAGAAATCAAACGTAAATAAATATTAAATTTTCTCATTATAATACTTATAAAGTTAAAATTAAATAAGATAAATGTTTATAACAGTTTTAAATAGTATATATTTCGAGATTATAACGTGTAATGATTAAAAGTAAAATAATTTTTATTAATTTATAACAAAAATTTATAGACTATATTATTAAGTAATTTAACTTAAATTTAAGAAATTATAGCTTACGATTATTCTACATTCTTAAAATCATAATAAAATAGTCATTAAAATATCTAAAATTTTTAAATTTAATTTTAGTAAATACTAAAGTTAAATGTCTCGACTCTAAATAAAAAGCGATAATCCAAATTTAAGTAATTAATAAGTTAGCACTTCTTATGCTTACCTATTGGAGTATGTAATATAGCCTACATAATAATCGTTATAATATAAAAAATCGTACAATCATCAAATAGATCATTTTCATTCTTTTTAATTAATTCATGGCTGGAATTACAAATCGTTGAGATATTCATTCTAGTTTATATTAGATTTTCGTTAGCATTAGTTCGGTAACCTGTCAAAGGAGAAATTCGTTATGACAATATCTAACTAAAATAGGAAAATGGAAATTAATCGATACAAAATCGATTTCTTGCGAAATGTCTATTAAAACGACGCCAAACGGCCAATCTCACAAATTATTTTTCAAAAATGAGTTTAAATTACATATCAATATAATTATAAGCTTAAATATATACTCTACAGTTTGACAAATGTATAAACTAGTGATGTAACGAATATTCGGTTACTATTCGGTATTCGGCCTATTCGGCCTATTTTTCACTATTCGGCCGAATACCGAATACTTAAAAACAGGAGTAATAAATAACAAAAACACAGTAAATTGATCATTTTGGTATTTAGAGTTAATGTTATAGAGTTAGTGTTGTTTGTTTATATTTATTTATAACTTGTAACATGCACAAAATAAAAAAGAAAATAATATTAGTCACATGTATTCACAATTTATAATTACAAAGATCAGCACACGTACACGTCTATCGTTGGAGAATCCTCGCACATCTGAGGGTCTGACCCTGCCTATCCTTCTTTTTAAGCGCTCGTCTTTGCTCTTCCCTTTCTCTTTCCTCTATCGCTCTAATCCATGTATGCCTGTGCATACATCATAATACGCGCTCACGATACTTTCGATTCGTCACTTTTCCGTCGTAGAGTTCCCATTTTACAATTACGTGACTCAGCCTGGTGATAACGGAGAAAAGAGACAGATAGGACGTCGATATAAGTCACAGTTATGATTTCACAGATTCGAGACAGCTTGATAGCCCGAACGGCCCCAGGCTTTCGCCCGTGCACGCTAAGTGACTTTCATTACAAGCATTTAGCTTTCCGAAGTCTATGACAACAATTGTTTGGCATTGACGGCCGCGAATTTCGTGCCAATAAGCTGCCTCGACTTGTTCGATTATGTTATCAACTCAATTTCATATTTATTTTCACATTTTCACTTCGCGGTCCTTCTCTGTTCTTTTTCCGTTATTTACACGTGTAGGTCATTTCATTGTTATCCACATTTGATATAATCATTTATCACATACTTCCATGACACTCTTGTCTGTCCGCTACAACTGCCAAGAATTAACGCGATTGGCGAAGCATAGTGACAGCGGGCCAATAGAGAGCAGGATTCTTGCCATAATGCGGTTTGCGCGCCAATTTCCGTACGTGCGATAATCGAGCCGAATAGTTTGGCCGAATATTCGGCTATTCGGCCACGCTCCTGGCCGAATATTCGGTATTCGGCCTGAGGCCGAATATACTATTCGTTACAACACTAGTATAAACTATTTGATATACTTACAGTATTAACAATATATAAAATTAGTTAACCTAAAAGAGGTAATTTGAGTTAATATTCATAATTATGTAAATTACATATAGATATCATCAATTATTGTTATGAAAGAAAATTTTCTAAGTGGTCATATTTAATATAATTAAAACTACATTTCTGGATTTCCAGGAAAATATAATCTCAACTTATAATAACGAGCTTATGGAAACGGCGGTTTACTTAAGTAAGATATTTTAATATTATAACAGTTTTCCAGGATTTCCAGAAAGTCGAGTCTAACAGAAATCCCGACAGAAATCCCGATCAGTTAAATCAAAAGCAAGGATTTACGGTGGTCAATAACTTTTATTCTATAAACATAATTTCGCGCTTTATCCATGCGTAATTAACTTGAGTTCATTCGATTCCTGGGAAAAGAAACTTCTTAACGTTAGAAATTTGATAGAAATAGTTTATATAATAATTTTCTGATAGAATTTTTCATTTAGAACATTTAGAAGGTTTATAAGAGTATATTGTAAATAAAAATACTGGAAATTTGAAATGGTAAAATATTTCCAGAATATTAACAACTGTAAGATATGTGACATGCTTATAGAAAAATTTATAACATCCAAGATATTTATATATTTAGATATTTATAAGATTATGATCACATTTAGAAAATTGCTAATAAAGTATGTTAGAAATCAAAATTATCTTCAAAATAATTTTTTCTCAAACAGAACATAAATAATAATCGAAAAGTATCTTTAAAATTACTTTAATTTTTACAATTAAATATTATTTTACTCTCAAATAGAATTTTTTTTATTTTTTTGTTAAGTTACAGCAATGCAACATTTGGGCAATCTGCTTAGGGGGATGCCTTCAGAGAGATCTTTTTAAGGCCAACTGGCTCCTATTCAGGCGTTACAGACGTGAAGAAAACCTGAAGAACTCCACGTGACCAGCCCGTCCTGGCGAGGCTCTAACCCACAACCGAATTGACAGTGTTTAGGGAATGGAATCGCCACAATAACAACTGGTAGGCCAAGATGGCATTAACGTGATGAATAATTTCAATCGGGACCGCTCGGACTCGAAACTACTAGAAACAGTTCCACAGTGTCGAGACAGTTCCGATTCCGGAACTATCAATACATTCTTCATTTTGTACTTTTATGAATACAGCTTTTAAGAGACACAATGAACCCTTTGTGAAAGATTTGAACCCATAAAACTAATTGACAATGTTCCACAACTTTTAAAGAAATAATGAAATTAATTGTATTTTAAGTTTATAAAGAAAGATATTTTAAAAATTTACAATTTTATTAGAGTTCTTAATTATATGTTTTTATTAGTAAACTAGCAGATATGTGCGCAGGGGCGGATCTAGGTTTTTCGGGGCCTAGGGCTTATTGAAGTATAATGGGGTCTCATTTTTACCTAATCTATTAACTATTTTTTACTATACAATACGTGTTCGTTGTTAATGAAAAAGTATTAAAAATTTATGATAATAATTCAAATTTTGTGGACACTTGGGGGCCCAGGGCTTAAGCCCTATTAGTCCCTATGTAGATCCGCCTTTGTATGTGCGGCATTGCTTGGCCAAAAAGATGGATAAACGTTAAAACGAAAACTATATTACAAGTTTGATTATTTTAGCCCACCGTAAGTGACAACCATAACAACGGTGGGCTAAAATAATCAAACTTGTAATATAGTTTTCGTCATCTTGTATCTTTAGTATCTTGACACTTGTCAAGATCAAATAGGGAGGAGATTGAGGCGTTCAGATTTCATGAAAGTCGATATTTTCCCTCGAGTCCCAGAGAATAAGTATAAAATATTTGGTGAAGATCGACCAAAATACTAAGAACAGACAGACGCAAAAATTCTATACCTTATCTATACATTATCTACATATAACCGATGAGAAACTAACAGAAAGTCGAGTCTAACAGAAATCCTGACAGAATATATTGATTCCGTGGGACCGTCTAGTCCAACACACTGAGTTCCGTGAAATCGTTCCGTCGGAATAGATTCGCACTAGGATTAGTTCCACATTTCCAGTTCCAGAGGCGGAATTAAATTTTTCCCATTCATAATCCAGAGTTCGAACATTATATTAATGTAGACTAATATAAATTCAATAATTTGTTATTTAAAAATTTAAATTTTATACTTTTTTGGCCGAAGGAGAGGAAAAGAATTTTTTTAAGTGAGATGAAAAATATCGGGAAAAATAGAAAATGTCGATGACACTCATATTTTGTTCGGATGATGCGTATATCTTTAGTTTTTCAATAAAATGTGAATTCGAATAGAAAGGTGTTCTAATTCCAGTATAGAAACGTTCACTGTCTTACCTGACGGCTTGCCTCTATCGAACCTTATGATTTATGTATTCTATTGAATACCACTGAAATATTGTTTTGAGCATCGATCATTGAGTTGCAAATGTAGTGCGAGAGGTAAGAGTATACATCATGAAATATTCCCGATTTTGAAAATCTAAAAACCACAAATAGTATAAAGAAAACTGCATTAGACTCCGCCCAAACCAGAAGCAGGAAAAAAGCCTCTTGGTGTCCATTATCGGCACTAACTTTTAAGACGACTTTCTTTATCAAGTCTATCATCGTCTCGGCCAGACAAAGAACGTGAGTAACATGACAACGTGATGAGAGACAAGAGTCAACATATCTAAACAGATCGTTCCTGGATAAATTGTAGGTTTCGACCGATCCCCAAGAACGGTAGTCAGGCCGTCCGACAAATTCTAATCTGCGTACTGTCGGACTTCATTAGTAATGTTTCTCTTCGATTTATTATTGTCTTCCAAAATCATTAAATGTATTTAAAATGTTATAAACCCAAACTAAATTTTCTAACTCTATTTTTTTTTTTTTAAATTAAAAGCGAATGCATTACAAATGCCATCTTACTAACGAGATTAATGACGTAGTTCGTTTGATTTCTATTATTTTAAAATATAATTTATTCTCATAATAATATAGTCTAAATATAATATTAAAAGTATTTTTATTTCAAATATAAANTAAGTAACTGCACATAGTAATTTTAAAAAGTAATATGAAATTTTAATCTAATAGAAAACAATATATGATGAATGTTTTTGTCTCTATAAAAAGTTTAGATTAGGATTCACTTTTATTTTTTATGTTTTGGAGAATACATAATGAATCTACATAAGGAGAATAATATTTTTAGATGAGATTTCTCGAAGCCATCAAATTTTTGTATTAAAAAAATAAATGTCAGTTTGTCTTATTGTAATTAATAAACCCAAAACTCGTTCTTTGTATACAATTAAAAACTTTGATAATTAATATTAATATTATAATTTATTAAAATCCTTAAAATGTGACTTTAGTGTAATACGAATGAAGAACTTGTATATATTTTATTGTAAAAATACGATAACTTTAAACAGTTTTTCATCTACCAGCCAAATATTTTCGAGAAACGACGTAACGATTCTCCAACTTTAAAATAAATAAAATTACATTTATTACAGTTTAAATTGCTGAAATTTTATTAATCTTAATAACTGATAAAAATTACAGCGAGAAATTATTCTCCTTTTTGTTTCTTCCCATGCTTTTTGCCATGTTTTTTTCCTTTCTTTTGTTGTCTTCCTTCTTCCTCGTCTTCCTCCTCCTCTTGGGGAGATCGTTTGAATCTGTTTTCATATTTATTTACTCCATGCGAAGAAATTACGCTTTTTTCTTCAGCATCAACTGAAAAAATTTATGATTGCATATCTTTAATCATGTATAAAATTAAATCTCCAAAAGAAATTAAAAATAAATAAATATATTATCTTTAATACCTAAATTTTAGATTTTATAATGTTAAAAATAGCTTTATTTGAATTATTTTTTACTTTATAATATTATAATACGGTATTAGTTTATTACATACACTCTGCAGAGACGGAAATTTTCTCTCAAATTGAGTGAAAGCATAAATTTACAGAATTTATCAAATGATAAAACTTAATTGATATTCTTATTGATTTTCTTATAATAATAAGAAATTTAGGGATGTAGAAATTTCGTATTCTATCGAAATATTTTGTTCTTATTATTTTGTTTTGTTTATGTTAATATTTGTGCTTTCTATCAATACTTGCATTTACTAAAAATCTCTAAACTTAAAAAGAATTACTTTTGATAAAAATCTTACTTTATAAATACGGAAAGTAATGTAAAATTCTATTTTAAATTAATATTGATGAGATTTTTAATTGCTTTAAAATGAGAATAACAACAAATTATATTTAATATATTTCTTATATAAAATAAGTAAAGTAATTTGAAAAAGTTTATTTTCCATTATTAATTATCGAAAATTCTCTTAATGTTATAACTTACCATTAGATGCTAAAGCAAAAGCAAGAAGAGCAACTGTCAAGAAGACTATAAGACAGAACTTCATCTTTTCTACATTGACTCGAAATTGCTCGTTCTTTTATACACAGATCACTGACGTCACAAATAACTTATTATAAAATAGACTCATGAATAAATATTTAAACAGATCATTTTCAAATGACACTTTAAGCGATATAATATAATTTATTTACTAGTAAACACGATATGATCAATCGTAGTTGTTAAAACGTCAATAATTTAATTTGTTTGACATCAGTCAGTCATAAAAGTAGATTTTAATCTTTTTCAAAATGAATTGATGCAATATACATTTTAGTTTCTATAAAAATTCATTTCGAAATAAAAATATTACTTGGGAAAATTAATATTCAATGAATTTCTCGTTATAATTTTAATATCTTATCATAAATGATCATCGTCATTAATAGTTTTGAACTAAATGTTTGCCGACGTCTAATGTCTTTTTCATTCTATCACCCTGCACTTTTTTCTCTCTCAAAGATGATGGTTCAGTTGATATAGTGTTGTTCGTTCAGCCGCACTTTGTGAGATCTTTTTCTAACCGTATTATTTATACTGTAATACCAAACATCAGAATTTTAATCTTTTCTGATAATTTATTCTACAGATATATTCAAATATATTTCATTTTTGTGTATTAGCCTCTTTAACAGGTTACTTTATTTACAGTATTTATTTATTTTTTGCTTTTATTTGTTGGTTATTTTCTGTGTTTATCTTATTCTAAGAATTTTCTTGTAAGAGTTTTTTCAGTGCTAGTATTCTTTTTTCCCTGATCTTTCATTACCACCTATGAATTCCAGGCATTTAGCATGCTGCTGAATACGTATTCTAATTATTTGCGAAAATTTTAATTATCGAATCATTTAAAAAGTA